CCCCTCTCTCTCCTAATGTACTAAGAACATCCACCTAAATACTGTGCCACATACACCTTATATTTCTTTCATCATTGTAAGCCCTGATGAAGGGGAGATGAGGCCACAGCCCCCGAAACGCATTGTGTGTAAAGCCAATCTGTCACTGGAATCAATTCGTACTTGGAGTGGCACTTTAATTCTACATTTTTCTCATCTCTACCACAACCAGAGGTGACCGTGAAGACCCATTGGTGTGTAGATGCTGCCACCCCCAGTGATCAGATATCTCTATATATCCCACCTCAACCTAACCACTCAACCATCACGTTCTCAAACAATTCATCCCCACACAGCTCCCTTCTCATGTATCACTTCCCCCTCCCTTTTAGACTTTAAGCCCTCAGGGGCAGGGCCCTCCTTACCATCTTGTCTTGATTTGTATTGTGATTGTAATTTCTTCCTTATATAGTAAAGTGCGTTGCAAACTGTTGGCGCTATATAAATCCTGTATAATAATAATTTACACCATCGCCATGGTTTTGGACGACAACGATGATATAAAAGTGACATAAAGAAAGCCGACCGTTCCGGCGCCCCTTCTCCGTGTTTATATATGAAGGATTCTGTACAATTTTCTTTTTGTTTCCTTTCAGATCTTCAGAGCTTTCCCTCAAGGATACAATATCTCCAAGCAGGTTCTGGACCAGTACCTGACACTGCTGGCAGATGACCCGGTAATGGGAGGATTCTGGGGAGGGGCATAACGGCTGCAGGCTGCCGCCGTGTTATGTCACAATGCCAGATCTGTTCTGATTCTCTCTCCGCTCCCTCTCATTGCAGTTGGAGTTTGTCGGGAGATCCGGGGACAGCGGAGGCGGGATGTTTGTCGTCAGTATCCTTTTTAGTGCCATTTTATTTATATTGTCATATTCTGTATAGAACTCGTCTGCTTTTGTTTTATAACTTGACTTCCTGCTATAAGATCTCCACAAAGCTATCGCAACGTTGGCTTCCTGCAACCTGGAATCCATTGTACAGGAACGGTAAGGGATCAGAGAGAGATCAACATCTCCCTCTTTCTCTCTTGTCTCCCATTCCTCTGCTTCTCTTACCCTCTCTCTCTTCTCTCTCCTCTCTCTATCTTGCGCTCTCTCTCGCTCTTTCTCTCTCTCGCGCTCTTTCTCCCTCGCGCTCTTTCTCCCTCGCGCTCTTTCTCCCTCGCGCTCTTTCTCCCTCTTTTCTCTCTTTCTCCCTCTTTTCTCTCTTTCTCCCTCTTTTCTCTCTTTCTCCCTCTTTTCTCTCTTTCTCCCTACACCACCTCTTCTCTCTGCACATGCTTTGTACAGACTGCTGTATACAATCTGGCACCTCTGTGTACAAGGCCTAAAAGTATAACTAAAGCCAGAACTTTTTTTGTTCAGTTTTGTGCCGAGCAGGAAACGGTTAGAACCTGTCAGTTGTGGTCACGTTGGGGTGATTTCTACTTAAATCATTTTCCAGGGACAGAATTTAAAGTTTTGAGGGAAATCATTTCTTTGTTGTCACCAGAACAGTTTCCCTAGGAGAACATTTCCCCTCTATTTCTGTTTTGGTGACCGGTGTAACATTCTGGCTTCTCCATCACTTCCTGCGTCACCAGGACACATAGAGAGGGGCATAAACAAAAACCTGCAAAGTAAAGAACAGAATCTCCGCTTATAAAGTGCAGATATAGTTTCTTTTCAGAGCTCTAAATATACACAACCATTAAAATATACAAAAATCATATAGAACATATTGACCAGTCACCATGACAGCAATATTAGCCAATAAAACCTGACAGGGGTTCCAATCCGTCCACACTCCATCCAAAACTAAACAGAGGTTTTGGCTTAGATCAGAGGTAAGCAAACTTCAGCCATCCAGCATTGGTGTAGTTATGAATCCCATCATGCATCTGGCTCTAGAAGTCATGTCTGTGGCTGGGAGTGTCCTAATGGGATTTGTAGTTGCACCGCAGCTGGAGGGCCGGAGTTGCCCAACCCTGGCTTAGATCCACTGTGATCCTTGGCTGTTGAGTAGTCATATGTCTCTTCAGTGGTGTGT